ATAATGAAAAATACAGATTTACCTACTCAAGCCCTTGGTTGTAATAAACTAAAATTTTCTTAATATGTAAGGGATTTCCAACAGTCAGGTCAATCTTACATCTCTGGTGAAGGCAATTGGATGAAACTCATTGAGAACAGATGTGTACTTAGTTAATAAATTTTTGATTTAAAGAAGAAAAAAAAAAAAAAAAAAAAAGAGGGAGACAGAGACAGACAGGCAAGACAAAGTGAAAACTTACCCGTCTCAGACCCACCTGGAGGGGAGAAAGCACACCACAAGCGTACAGTCTCGTTCAAAATTAAGGGAGAGCTTCATAATGAAAAATACAGATTTACCTACTCAAGCCCTTGGTTGTAATAAACTAAAATTTTCTTAATATGTAAGGGATTTCCAACAGTCAGGTCAATCTTACATCTCTGGTGAAGAGCAGCACACAAAGAAATGCTTTCTTTTAAGACTTATTAATACTGGCAAACACAGATACATGTGTGTTCACCCCTTTTACACCAGAAGCTTGCTTATAGTCTCATCCTCGTATCTCCTTTCTCATACACCACATAAATGTGTTAAGTATTCACATCCTCATTACAGTCACTCAAATTTGCCTATTTGGATTCTCTAATTCATATAAATCCTGTAAAACAGCAACACAAAGTTCATCTGTGGATATTAGTTCTCTTCCAAACCAACACCCAGAAGTCACATCATACTATTTAGCAACCAGTATTAAAGAAGGAAGAGGCCCACCATGCCAAATACTGACCAAAAGCAACAACCACAAATTAATAGGGCCAATTAATAAAATACACAAATGGAGACTTTGAAGACAGAGGTCAAGGTAGTTCCCATGACACAGAATATGATTACACTTTCCCTAATTGCACATCTGCAGGCAGCTACCGTGTGTGAATTTCAGTGGTTGGCTGATCACACAGCCATAGGCATGTCATTCGGACACACAGCGGACGTGATTCTGATGACCACAGTTCTCCATGGCACTGTTTTTCACTGACAACGCCTGAATAAATGTGTTAAAACATCCTCCATAAAGTCAGTGCTCCTCTGCTTTGTTTAAGCAGCTCCTGTGCCTCCTGCACTCCTATTAACCTGCAAGAGTAGGTACAGAGCATAACCCAGGTACACAAGGCAAAGCCACAGATCTGAACTTTGTTAGCTTTTCCCCTGTTTGGGAATCGAGCACTTATACATCGTATGTATACTTACATACTTGGAAGTATACATTACACATCCTATTGCTGTTGCAAAGCTGGTCTGAGGTACTTAAATTCGCTTCAAGAAGTTTCTTTCATACCAGTTCTTATCCTACTGCGTCTACCTCTCCAAATAGAAGAAATTTATTGTGAGAGTATACCAATACTTAATTATTTATACATGAATGTTTAAACGTTATTTGGGGACTTTTTGCATTGTTCTTTAAGTCAAATTGCTTGCTATGAGTATTCATTATGTATTTGATGCAAAAGTACTTGAAACAATTCAGAATTAATCTTCTGAATGATGACTTCTTCTGTGAGCCAATAACCTCCTTCAGAAGAGAGAGTTATGAGAACATTATCCTCTTGCTAAAAACGTGGCACAACTCAATTTTGTATTTTACAAAGAGTTGATAACCTTTACCGGTTAATTTAAATAGTCATCTGCCAAGCAAGACTACTAGAATTAGAAATCTCATGTTATTTCAGTTGGTCTTTTTCACCCTATATCCTGTATCTATTGAAGGCTTCGCATACAGTTCCACTTTTTGTCTTCAGTGGGAACATTCGTGCATGGCCAGAACAGCACATCTTAAATGCCCTCCTCACGTGTTTCAGGTGCTTTAAAATAACACTGTATTTTTCACTTTCAAACTTAACTAAGTAACAAACAGTACAGCTTTGTGACATAACATCCTTCACACCAATGAAATACCAGGTGAGAGTGTTTCAAAGCTGTAGCAATCATATAATTTTACTCTTTGAGATACGGTACTATTTTCACAACTTATCCATTTCAAGCGTTATTTTCAAACTACTATAGTAATTCTTGTCACAGTTTCCAAGAATTTAACATATGCCTACAAATTAAGCCATACTTTCACTACTTGCATGAGCCTTTAGAAGACAGTTCAAGGACATTCTTGGTGAATAACTTACATTTCAATCTATTACATAATTTTGCAATTCAACAGCCATTACATAAAGTGCAGGCTTTGCAGAAGATACACAGAACTTTGTGTCCCAAATATTTCATTTCATTATCTATCTATCACTAGAGTATACAACATATTCTTTAAAAGATGCACACCACTTCCTATATAGCTTAACAATTATTTCATTTGGGAATTACAGGGCTTTTATTTGTCTGTTTGTTTGAACAGCCCTGTAAGCATTCATGGTATTTGGAATGTTGCATCCATTTGCTAGAAAAAAAGCAAGCTTCTGGTTTTACAAGATAATTAATTAAGTATGACACAAAACCCCAAATATCCGATAGCTTAGTTCACATTCAAGCAACTTAGGTTCATTATACCAACCTTCTTTCCACTTGTCTCCTATAAAGAAGCCATATTTTCCCCAAGAAACCTTCATATAGAGATAACAGCAATTTAAAATTTCCAAGACTTCTGGTATTCCCAGCGACAAGGAATATAGATCCCTAATGCTGCTGAACACATTAAGTATATTAAGCGTAGCAGATTTCACCTAAAACACCTTTAAGAGCCACATGCTTTCTGAAAAATTTGGAAGATGCATGTGCACATACAAATATATTAACTTTATTCTTCCTCTCATGTGATGAAAAAGCGATACACACTGAACTAATGGGTATAAAATTATTATTTATTACTGATTCCAGCCACCTACTACAAACTGGATGCATGAGTAATAAAAAGAAAACAATGCAATCTTCTGTGAGTACTCAACAGTCCTGATAGCCAGTGTTCTATCCCTACCACACTAATTTAGGGTCTTAATTTTTTAAAAGAAAACATCAAATATCAATAAATTTAGACTTGGAAAAAAACCTCCTTATGTCGAACAGTTGGAAATAATAAGGCCTTTAACTGAAATGTACTTGTCACAGACTAACTATAAAATACATGAAGTAGTAGCAGTTACAGAGACCGTGCATGCAAACAATTCCACTGGTTTTAATAAGAAGTGTCCATAAAGCGATTACTAACTGCTTGCCTCATTCAAGATTGCAGGATTGCTCTTGATATAGTTTTGCATACAGTGAAATTAAAATCAATTAGCTGACTCCCAGCTACGAAAGGGAAATTTTATAATAAAATCTCTAGAATGTACTTAGAAAGTCATTAGCCGGGCACTTTGTAAATAGAGACATGGATGGGGGGAAGGGAGAGGAACGAGCAGAGGAAGGAGGAGAGGGAAAAGTAGAAAAGGAACCGCACAGTGAGACAGGCTGTGAACGAGCCATTGATGCTGTTTGTGTATGTACGGAGTAACCATGTGTGCTTGGAGCTGTGGGGTGAACAAAAAGCACGTTTACAACACGGCATCACCAGTACACTACCCAGAGCATTCATTGCTGTGCCTGAGTTATACCACAAGCACTCTGTAACAAATGTGAAATGCAACTTTCTGATACTTTTCATCCTCTTAGAGAGACAGAATAGGCTGTCTTGCAAACGCTTCTACAATCTTTTTGAGGTCAAAAAGGAATGGCACTTGGGATGGGACTGAAAAAAAAAAAAAGCAGCAATCACTGAATAGGCCACCGCATTAGAAGAGCAGTATTTAAAAGCTGGTGATTTCCTTGACAGCTTCTTTGAAAAGGTGCCACCTGTGGAACCTTTTCACAGCCTTAAAAGTGATCATCACTGTACTGGGGAAACATTCGCAACTCTAGCCTCTGCTACAGACATACAGCTGTGCTAATCAAAGTTCATAGGAATCTCAAGGTGTTATATATTACTACTTTATTATGGAAACACAATACTACACACATAATTCAAATCTTTTATCGTATTGAAATGCAGCATGCAAGAGGGCAACAGTGAGAAACGTCCAGCTTAGAATCTGCCTCTCTTGAATGTTTGATTTTGTGACCCTGTTCTTGCAATTACATACGGCATCTAGAACAGAGAATCTACAGTAAATTAGAAAGGATTACTACAGAAATGTACGCACACTATGCAACAGAAGCATTGTCTGACTTCCTTGTACTTTACATGACTAGCTTTCCTCTCTCTGATTCACATAGAAGAGCACGATAAAAGAAGTATGTGCTCACTCTGCCTTTCATTCTCTCATTGAGAAAACAGAACGTTCCACCTTTAGCAATAATGTATCACAAGAATGAAGTCATTCTGCACAGCTATAAAGACTAAGGCATAGATGTGTATAAGACATAACAAACTTTAAAAATAATATTAAGGCATTGCACAGAATCCATTATCAGAGATTAAAAGATGTACATTTTCAGTTCATTTTTCCCCCTCCATTGTTTCCTCCTAATAAGATTAGTATTTTGAAATATACAAGTCTTTAAACCTACATGAACAAAACAGTTTCTATATTTAAGTATTCCAAATAGCACTTTCTTTTTAATTAGGAATGCTCAAAAATCACTATTACTTCTAAAACAGTAATGTGGAAAAATCTGATACTGACCAAGAAGCAGCATAAAACTCCTGTCTTTTTTTTTTTTTTTTTGCTATTCTATTTGTCTTGCTTAAAATGAGGGGGGAAAGGAAAGGAGAGAGAGACATTAATTTTCAAATATAAAATTTGCATTTTTCCATGGTGATATTCCCGTCAGTTATTTAACATTATGACTGCAAAAATAAAAGTTCACATCATCTCTGAAATACCGTATTCAAGAGTATACAGGGAAATTATTTCTCTTTCAACTGTTGACTGCAATAGTTTTGAAGCTTTTTGTTTTCCACATATTCAGAGCAGCCTAGCTTCTTGTTCTCTCTCAGATGCAAAAAAAGGAAAAAAAGAAAAAGGATTATTTTAGACTCTAACCTGAAATGCTACAACCTCTGGCCTGCCCTTCAGCCCTTCCACTGCAAAGGTCTCTAGGTGCAGTTTGGGTAGCTGCAGGGTGAAGTCATTCCTGGTTGCCGCAGTCCGTGACAGCAAGGTCTGATCTCTGACCTAAAGGGAAAAAAACAGCATCAATGGTAATTCCCCTTCAGACACATTAACTGGGATGAACTGGGTCCCCTTGAGCCCACTGAGTGGACTTGCATTGATCGCTGGACCTGAAATCCATGAATAAATTTAGGACTAATTGATTTTTCGTTGCAAATAAATCTCTAATTCAGAGTGCTGGGAGAGAATGTTAAGAAGAAAAAGCATCTTCCCCTGGTCTGAAATGAGAAGGAAAGAAGAGACAGTAAGGGCTCGCAAGCCCACCTGGTATATACATTTCACAGATCTCTCCCCTATAAAAACCTCGTAAGAAAAGAAACAGTTGTTGTGCTTCTGACTCAAACGAACAACAGCTACGCAATTAAAAAGTTCATATGATCATACAAACAAGAAGCTGGCATGTGAGTTCCATCTACTGTAGGGAGATCATATCAGTCCTCCACAATTAGATTCATTTAATATCAATTCAGTTAAACCCCAGATTAAAATGAATAATCCTCAAACAAAGCAAAATAAACCAACCTGTAGCTCTGCAATTAACAGAAGGAGAGGGAAAAAAAAAAAAAAAAAACCAACCCACCCTGTTACTAGATTTCTTATTGTGGACTCCCTACAAGAAATAATGCACTAATTGGTATTAACACACTTTTATACAGTTTCTAACTGTGCCGATCTGGAGCGGGAAACGCTAAAAATCTGCAGAAAATTGAGACAGTTTGATATTTGGTTAGTTTTGCGGGCAGCGGAAGGATAAAACAACCTTTCCCCGTTACAGCACCCGGCTCACGGCTCTCCGCGGGGCCGCCCGCACACCCGGGGGCCCTCGGTGTCACAGCGCCACCTGCCGACCGCGCCGACCGTTTGCTGCTGCCAACGGGCACGGCGCGCGCCTTCGGAGGGGACGGCGGAGAGCGGGGTAAAACTCTCCGCTTTTGTCTCTAAACACAGGACCAGCGCTCCGATAAGTCTGAAGGGCAACATGTTTCCACACACCACAACACGTAATTAGCGTGTCATACCGGCAGGGATGTGGAATTACACATCTCCAACACGCAACTTCCCCGGACACAGCACTTAACGTTCATACACCATATGCGGCCACGCACCCACTTTTCGTTCTATTTAATACAAAAATTATCATGGTCGCCTCCAGGAGATCCCAGTAGTCAGATTAGATTCTAATACAGATGGGTAGACACACAAATACATATTGGTACAAATGGAACAGACGAAATACATTTGGCATAGACTCTATCTGCTGGGTAGTAATAACTAGTACTGTAAAAACAATTTACTGTCTTTAACAACAATAGCCAGTCTGATACTAAAACATATACTAAATATATAGTAAATGCATCTAAATCCTTAGATACACCATTTACTAAATACTATTCAAAACCGATTTCAGTTTTTTCTTAGAGCCTTCTTTGCGCAAAAGAACTCAAACGTGAATTAAAACATATGTCCATTCATCTTAAATCCCAGATTACTTTTTTGTAACCACTTACAAAATTAGATTTTTTTAAAATGTTGATTATGAGGGAACATATTTCAAAAAATAATAATACAGCTTTTGAAATCTGCTCTGATTTAAAGAAGTATGCATGTGTAAATCTACTGATACAAAGAAGAGAAGATTTTATTTTATTCGTTGCTCTGTTCTGTGGGAATAGGGAGCCCTGCATTTCCCAAGTTGACCTAAAGAATTCCTGTCAATACCTGTGGCTGCCAAACATATGCACTATGATGCAATTTTTATAACAGGAAAGGTCCTCCGCACATTTTTTGCACACATAGTGCACTAGGTTCAGGATACACAGTCCTGTGAAACAAACATACTCTCCAGAGTGTTCTGTCAGCATGTGTAATTCCGGTCAGATGTTAACCTCACTGAATATAACAAAATGCATTATTTAAATACACACACATCTATATACACACACACACACATACATACGCACTCTTGATTTACATTTTTATAGCTTATATATCCCAACTTTTCAGTGTCTTTGGTGCCAGTATGCACACAGATAAAAGAAAACATTAATGTGGATTAAGGTACTAAGAATTTATCAACATCAAACCACCAGTGTTTTGCCTTCTACCCTTCTGAACCGTAGTCAATAGATCTAAATATTTTACTGCACCCTGGCCAATTCATTGTTTGATGTTTAAAAACTCACCCAGAATCAAAGAAAATTTATTAAATTTCAGCCCCCAAATGAGATACTATTAGCTTTGAAAGTCAAGTTTAACTGCGATATTGATGATTCTCTTTTTTCTGTGACAAAATTCACAAGGGAAATCCCTATGTCAAAGTACAAAAGCAGATTGCTAATACTAGGGGGAGAAAAACAATGTATAAGCAATGTAGGTATAATACACACACAATACAGACAGTGGAAGTCCTTTTAACCCTATTAGTTTCAAACTCTCCATTTCAGTATTAGGGCCTGACACTCACTGAACAATAAAATATAAAAGCCATTTTTTAAAATGGCTGAGTTGTGGTTAACGTATGCCATTAACACCACTGCAGCAAAAAAGTACCTATTAGCTCCTTAAAGCGTACGATATTTGGTATGAAGATTCACAACTAAAAAAAGCAACCCCAAAACTTTTTTTTTGTTTGTAAATACTTAAATCATAAAGAGTAAATCTCGTTAACCACATGCATACCGAGAAAATGAAGCTTTGAAAAATACAAGGGCTCAGGAAAAATTGTAAGAACAAAAGACTAGGCATATATTGTACAAATACCATGACATTGTTTCTCTAAAAGTGAAAACAGTCTTCAAGTTGACAAGTTGGCTACCTATTCAAGCCATGGAAAGCTACAATGGCCACGTTGGCCAGGAATCATCCTGCACAGGCCATACCTATATGAAGGCCATACCTATATGAAATCTTAGTTAAGAAATAATTTCATCACTTCCTGGTTGGTTTTTTTTTTGTGTGTGGGTTTTTTTTGGGTTTTTTTTTTTTAAATCCAGAAAGATAATGACAGGAGCTGGGAGACTGTGATTATTTTCTCATTCTCTAAGGACGTAAGCACAGTACTCACATACACTATCAGGCAAAGGTAAAACCGGTAATTTTATTAAAACAAACCTTTTTTTTTTTTTTTTTTTTTTTTTTTTTTTTTTTTTTTTGGTTGCTTGTCAGGGAGGAAAACCATTCAGAGCTTTTTTGTATTTAATGACATTTATTTTTCCTCCATGTGAAATCTAAAGCAAGATTATCTTATCTGAGAGGTCTCCTTAGACTAAAGACCTAGTAACTACAATCGGAAAAACCTGATCAGCTAATCAGGCTTATTGTAATTATTAAAAATGTCTAAAACCAGTTTCACTTCCCTATAGTCAAAAATTAACAGAGGAAAAAAAAATATAAAAATGTATCTATGTCAGATGCTAGTGAAGATTTAGGCTATTTCTGACTATGGTAAACATAATTTTGGCTGACACCATGAAAAGTTGCAAGAGTTGCAAGAGTGAAGCTCAGTAAGTACTGCGACAATGGGCTGCTAAGCATGATCATTAGATTTATCAGCTTAGCCATAAATAAAGACTGACTGAAAACAGGCAAAACTAAAAATCGATCCACACAACTCTACCACAATACTTAAAACATTTTAAAACAAAGCACTGTAGTGACTTATGATCACGTTTAACTTTTTAATTAATTAAGAGAGCAACACAGAAAACAAGACTATAGCCACTCAATTTAAAATCAATAAAGTACTGATGAATTCAGATCAAAGCTGAAACTGAATAATAAACTGAAGTTTTGTCATTGACTGAATCCAGGGGTAGAATTTGGTGGGCTAGTTCTACGTGTCCAAAAATGATCTTAAAAATTCTCTGCTGATCAAAGATAACAATAATTTTGTCTACACCCCACTTCTGTGCTCACTTCTTTACCCTCTGCACAGTTTGAGCTAGCATGTCCAGTTATGCCCATAGAGACATGGTACTAAACGCTAGCAGCTGTAAATGGGCTCACCCCTCCCTAATGTCCTTGCTGCATTACTGTCTGACTGGTACAACAAAACTGAGATTTTATTTCCTTATTTTGGGCCTAATTCAATGCTTTTTTATGGTGCAGAGAAAATAAGATTACTTATGGATATAGACTTCACTATGCAAGCTATATATGAGAACCTTTTATAAGTTCAAAGTCCACCAATTCTACATAAAGACTAGTACCTAGAAAGTAAAAGACTTTTGGCATATTTTATTTCCTACTACTATTTTTAATAGCCTATCATCTGCCATTTCAGGAGTGGAACAAAAACTACAATGATGTACTGATTCAGAGATGAGTGAATGGCAAACAATGATTTAGTCCCCTTGACTTTGAGATGACCATATTGCTGAGATAACAGAAGTTGCAAATATGTTATGCAAATCATTCTAAAAAAGTGCAAGCAAAATGGTTTCTACCACACTCTAATGTGTTCTGCATGTGACATATAATTAACAAAAATGTTTTTATAACTTTTAATAATAGAAGGAGGCAGTTTGAATGCAAACCACATCTTACTCTTAACCACAGTCTTGTAAATATGTGGCTGATTTAGCTGCATAATGTCCATACCTCCAGGGCAGCACGTAGAATGGAGGCCATATTGCACAAATCAAGGACATGCACATCTACTGAGCATCGTCCTTTGCCTTCTTTGATGAGAGGCGCTTTAACAGAAGTTACATACTACATCATTTGAAAAAGCAAGTCTTTGTCACAGTGGCATAAATGATCATGGAGCTAAGAATAATAAAAAGTATATACATTGGTGGATAAAACTAAACCTTCATGAAGACTTCCTACTTTTTATTGTTCAGCTGTGAACCGATGATGTTCTCTTACCCTATACAAAAAAAGGTAACTGAATATACATGAAGGAAGTTGCAGCAACAATAGTACTGAACAGTACTAGTAACAGTAGTTCTCAAGTAAGTTACCAATACAGATGATCTTTCTCGGGATATATCCATATACTG